CGTACGCTTCCCATTTCTCTTTTTTGTATTATATATATACTCGATGACCTCCGTTCAAAACAAATTAGCACTTGGCTACACTTATCCACCATACGTTCTTACAAAAGCTTAATAGCACACCGTAACTTTAATGAAATCATTTCCCCGTCAATAATCCGTTTGTTCCGTGAACGGCCGACCCCTGTTGTAGATGTATCGATACACATGCTGACAGGGGTGCAACGGCATCTGTGGGCCAGCATTTTCTCCTCTCCTTTTCGGTGGGAGGTCAGGTTTTGGTTCCTAGGTTAAAGGAGTTAAAGGGAAGCCTGTGTGAAGACACCTTCCTTTCCTATCATTCTAGAGAATTCGAACGGTCACATATAAATACAATATGCGTGCAGAGTGCGCAACCCGGGGCTAGCGGCCTACCGGGTTCATTTCACCTCGCGCTTTAGGAGAATTCCTAAGCTAAATGGACTATATTGCGAGACTAAGCAGCCCCCCAAACATTTCGCGGCTTCCGGCGCTCCCCGAGGTGTTGGCTGCAGCTACAGCTACACGCTAAATAGCTTAACGTACATTAGACATAAACAAAACACTGATTTATTTTGCAAAAGGTGCAGCGGGCTTCAAACACGTTCCCCTCCACTGGTTTCAACCAAGCACTAAATTCGATGTTTTCCAACCAAATACGGTTGAACTTACACTTCCCCATATTTATTTGTAAGTAGATTCGAAGAGACATGAGTTTCTGACTGCCGCTAGCTGAAGCTTGGTTGCTAGGTTACTAGCTGGGTGTTCTCCGATAAGGGGCCGGGGGAAACAAAGTTAGTGATTACTGGTTCCATGTTGATTTATTTCAATACAAATTGTTGGGGGGAACTGAAAGGCTCTTACTGTACTGGTTACTTTGCAGCCCGGACATTTCCCCCTAAACACATTTTAGAAGCGATCGCAACACAGAAGTACCTTTCAAATCCGATCATTTTTAAGACCTTCTAAATCATATTTAAGACCTTTCTTATTTTTTTGGTCATATTTAAGACCTTTTTAAGGCCTTAAATTCAGATTACCAAATTTAAGACTTGTTAAGACCCCGCGGGAACCCTAAATGAGATGTCCTTCAACATTGCGTGCTGAAATCCATTTCCGGGTCACTACCGGAGGACCGAGGAGTCGAGGAGGGGAAATTAGTGAAATGAGAAAGGGCCTGAGGACACTTACCCGTACTTGTTGTGGCTTCAGGAGGTGGAGACGAGCTGGATCTCAGCATATCTAAAACCACTTTCACGTCCTCCAACTGCTCCTCCTCTGGTGGGGGCAGTACGGGGGGTTTCACATCAACTTCCTCCTCAACAGCATTACTGTCTAACACTGAGGATGTGAGGGAACATTTAAAAAAAAAAACGAAATTAGTTGGATGATATAAGATAAGATAAAAAGGGCTTTTATTGATCTCCGTAGGGGAAATTCTGGTGTTATAGCAGTAACAGAATAAGACAGAAACACAGATAGTACACATGGAATAATAAGAATACAAATAAAATAAGAACAAATAAAATATGTAGAAATAGTATGAATATAAATAGCAAAAAGGTGAATGGACATACAGTATATACAGATATGTATAAAGGTTACACACATATATATATATATATACACACACACATTACAATATGCAGGTAACACAATATGCAGGTAACACTGTGGTGAAAATCCTGTCTGCATATAGTGCACATGTTATTGATATTAATATTTAGTGCAGGTTAGTTTTGATATAAAGTGCTTTGTTTACCTTCTCAGAAAGATGCTGCTATGTTTCAAAATGTTTGGACGATAAATAAGAATGTATAAAGTATTTAATAAGCAGCACTGAAAACAATGTGATCACCCTTTTAACCTGTTCACTTAAATCCACTCCTGGGAACTTTCGCTACAAAAGGTCCAACAACTTCATCAATCAGAAGTTCGGAGGTGCTGGAAAATGGAAGTCATGCATCATAGAATTTTTTAACAGGTTGTGGCTGAACCTGGCACTGGTGACAAAACTGATTTACCACTCTCCTCTAGCTCTCGTTTGTACTTTCAAAGAAGTAAGGTGTGTATATCTGTCTATCTGTCAGCAGGATTATGGAGAAAAATAACAAAAACAACTCAGAAACTGATATCAATGTATTGTTTAGGAGTTCTGAGCAATACAATACTACAGATCTTCTTTAAGCATCCATGTTTCCAGATGAACACTTAAAGCTTGTGAACACACCAAAGTAGGAAAAACAACCCGTCATCCTCTGCCAATTTGACTACCCAGGAGCACGTTATTTCACCATTGAAAGGTCTGCGTCATGAAACAGAAAACAACTGTGATAAAACGTGTACTCTGCTTAACTTTACCTGTATTAAAAATGGCAGGTGAATGGCTGCAATCCTCCTCCATTAAATGATTCTCTTGCTCCTCTTTCATCTGAGCTTCCTGTTCCCCCTGATCTACTGTACCAATGTCCATCATCTCATCGAGGTCCTCTGCTTTAGGAACCCTGGATTTACTGCCAGGTGACCCCTGCTGAGTGCCTTTGTCCTTTGTAGTGTCCACGTCTGTGTCCATGTTTAAGTTTGTTATCTTCTCAACAGTATTGTGCATATTTGTATCCTTGCTCATATCAGGTCCTGCAGGATTTTCCTCTGAGCTTAACTCAAACTCTTCCTCGGTTTTCACCTGAGTACCTTCTTCTTCTTCCTCAGTCTCTGATGTGCTATTTGACCCAACACCGTGAACCATAACTGTGCTGACTGTCTCTTCAGTGGATAAAGTCTCTTTATGATCAATTTCTTTACTTTCTATTTGTTTTTGAGCAGCAACAAAGGTATCTTCCTCTCCATGTTCAGAGAGTCTTTGAGAAGCTGTGTGAACAAGCTGTGGTTCTCCAACATCTGCAGAAAATCCTGGCTCTGAAACAGTCTCCATAGACTCTCCGTCTGTTACCTGTGAAAGACACAAAAACCTCCCATTAAGTGCAATGCTATTGAAAATAAGTCATACACAAATCAGTATAGAATGTTGCGTAATTACTTAGAAATTATCTATCAGAAGTGTTTATCAGATAATGCAATTTTCTTGTCCTCCATTTAAAACAATGATACTTTGAACTAGCTTTTCTTTGTTAATGTTTTTGTTATTAAAAGGTCATTCTCAAAAATGTTTGCTTTTATCACATCTGTTGTTTATTATTGTGCCCTTATCATATATGTTCTTGCTGCCTCTCTTTTTTTATGCACTGGATTGCTTGGTTTTATAGTGCAATGTTTTAACTTCTCAACTTTGCATGTTTTCATTTATTCCCTCTTATTTTCAGTTTAATGTAAAACTTGTTGAACTACACACTCTGTATGAAATGTGCTTCATTCATAAAGTTGTATTGTCAATATATGTATAAAAAAGGAAAAAGTCAAAGAAAAAAGTAAATATACCGACTAGCTGATAACACAACCAGTGTAATACGGTTGCAGATATTATCCAAAATGCATGCATAACAAATATAGTAATTATAGAACTCGTGTTTTAGAAATGTAACCAGACATTAGCACGCCCAGTCAGCCGTGTGTTAACCGTGCATCAAACACGACAACACAGTTAGCTTGTTGCTGCAAATGCAATGTAAACACAGCTAGCATCACTGCTGCAGAGCTGTTCAGACAACAACAGCGGTTTTATTACCTCCTTCTGAGAAGCTTCCTTGGATGTGGCCATGTTGCGATGATGTGTTGACTAAATACATGAACTGCAAACAAGAGAAAAACTAGCTCACCAGTCGCTAAGCTAATCTAGCTTGCTTTACAAGTCTGCACCATGGTCTGCACACGTTTCTGCCGTAGTCCTCCAGTGAGCTAGCCTTATAATAGCTCAATAACTAACCGCTTTGCTAATGAAATAACTTTTCTAGTTGTGTTATGTTGTACTAATTGCTTCATACAGCAACGTTATGAGGATGTATATAATGTATACAGCCGGAACAACGTGCCGCGTATTAGCGCGCCAGCTTCTTGGCATACGGGATTTGATTGGTGGTGAGCGGCGGGTGTCCATCCCCGGTTTCCGTAGCCGCCATGTTTGCTCCAAAATTTGAGTTTTGCAACTAAATATGCGAGTATCTGCGTTTAAAAATGTGGTTTACATATACTCTGCAACCATAAAATACTTTTAATATGATCCCTTAGTACATATGTTGCATCCAGTCTACCACGTTGCAGTGTTTTGCTTCTTCTTTGAGGTTTAATGGTAGACTCAGACTGCAGCTCAAAGTTTAGGAGCATACAGCCACCTACTGTACCGGAGTGGGAAGCATCATGATTTTATATATATTTTTAATTATTTATTGAACACATTGCACAATGCACATGTCATACATGTTGACAATAAGTAACCAAGTTAAACATTAATACATTCAAACATGTGAGTAAGAAGGGGAAAACAGCAGGAGCTGAGTAAAAACTTAACTTAAGTTATTATAATAATTATAATGATGATAATAATAATAATAATTACAAAGCCTCAATTTGAAATTATTATTATTTAAATATTGGCATTCAAAAATGTGTTCTTACTGTTTGTATGGCATAGTAAAGGGTAGAAGATTGAGTATTTGTTATAGGTTATTTCCAGCTGGTGTTGGAGCTCCCTAACCTGGATTTTAAAGGCTTCATTCTCGTCGGCCACCTGATTTGCCATCACTGCCGTCGCTGCATTTACAGAGTAGTCATGATCCGGCGGCGCAACTGTTTCCACCTCGTACTCAGCTGTCAAGTCCGGGGTGGGACTCTCTGCCCTTGGCCGACGCTCCCAAACATTACGTCTTGGTGTGGGTAGCTCGTAGTTATTCCAAGCAAAGAGAACAGGTGTAGCTCCTTTCTTTACTCTGTTCAGTCCTCCAGCTGTGACCAATAAGTCTCCTGGTCGAAAATGCCTACTACACACACGGGTATTTTTTGTGGGGCTGAAATTGTCCCTACGGACCTTGATCAGCCACTGAGCCTTTACCTCAGCATCAATGGGAAATGCATGTAAACTTATCTCCCGATTATAACGGGACGAATGTGTACAAAGGGGCACACAGCAATGTAGTGCCGACTTTCTTACCCGCTGGAAGGCCAATCGCTTTTCTTTACCGCTCATCATCTATGCTAACTCTATCGCTATCTATCTATCTATCTATCTATCTATCTATCTATCTATCTATCTATCTATCTATCTATCTATCTATCTATCTATCTATCTCTCTCTCTATCTCTCTCTCTATCTATCTATCTATCTATGCTAACTATATATCGCTATCTGTATGCTATGTATCTTGCTATCTATCTATCTATCCATCTATCTTTCTCTCTCTCTATCTATTTATTTATCGAACTATCTCTCTCTCTCTCTATCTATTGTATGTATCGCTAACCACCCGCTCAAACTCCACAACACCGCAGACCGGAAGTACTGGTGCGCACACCCAGCCACCGGAAGTTGATAGACGCCATCTTGTGCACAGAGCCTATTCCTGCTGTTGAAAAGGAGACTATGGTTTATTTGAAACAAAAATGGTGGAATGTATCTCAGTATGCTTCATATACTCAATTACTATGCTTAAGTACAATTTAGAGGTATTTATACTTCACTTGAGTCTTTTATTTTAATGCAACTCCACTAGCCTAGATCTCTGATGGAAATATTGTACTTTTTACAACCACTTAATTCTCGCAGTTTAGTTACAAATTAAGATTTTTGAACAGAAAACATACAAAGAGATTAGCAGCTCATCCTCCACAAAATTTAACAGTATGAGTAAATTGTTAGAGCAAAATGTCAGTGCACGTCCCTGCTTGGAGCACGGTTAGCGGACGGGACGGCGGTGAGTGTCGGGTAACACTTCATGGAGGATCAAGTGTTCGGGTAAAAAACTACAGTTTGGATATGAACAGCAACGACCATATTATGTTATCAATCAGCTACCAAATATATAACAGATAGTAATATTCTCTAATAGTTCAATACTGCTCATTAACAACATGGATAGAAAAAAGAGAAGATATTGGAGGAGAAGGACGTCCAATCGAAAATGTTTATTTATTTTGGGGCGTGTCTAAAACATGACTTGAATTTTGGAAACATCAAATGATGAATTAGACAGATTATTATGGTTATTTGTACCGTATTCTCCTTGTTCAATTATGTTGCTTTCAAACTTTGTAGATGTGTTTAACAATGATAATGCTTGTATATTATCCAAATGTTTAATTTGAATTAATAATGCACATAACAACAAACCAACTCCAATACATCAAGACAAGCTCATCACCAAATGCAAATCACCAAAAAAATACTTGTTCCTTATCAATATTCATGACACATTTTCTCCAGAAAGTGATATCCTTGTGATATGCAGATTAGTGCAAGTTCTTGACTTCAACAGTAAAAAGGTAGCAATGAAAATGTTTGTAGTTGTGAATAATATATGAAAATGATGCTTTTCATTTGCTACCATTTGATTTTCTGTTTCATAATAAGAACTTGTTTTTGTTACACTAATGAGAAACCAATTTTATATACAAAGGCATATTTACATTTTTAAAGTAGCTTATTAAACTGTGTGACTTCCATGTTTTTGATTTCTCTCCGAGGTTCAGTGCTCTGTCTTCTCCAGGCCAAAGCATGAATAGATGTTTTGGACCAGGCTGCATTTAAAGACACTATATGGCCAAAAGTATGTGGACAACCAATCATTACATAAAAAACACTGATTAGATAATGAGGTCTGTGCAGTTTGTGTTTCACTTCTTCCCGAAAGTGTTGGGCAGGATTGAGGTCAGTCAAGTTCTTCCGCAGCAAACTCAACAACAGAAAACGGGTCTTGGCTTTGTGCACAGGGTCAATGCCATGTTGAAGCAGGGCAGGGCCTTACATAAACATGCTGCCACATAATTGGAGGCCTTAAACATAACATAGCCCTAGTTTTTTTTAGATTTTACTGTAGATAGCATGTTGGTGTGACGTGTAACACAATTGTGCCTGCACCTCCATTCAATGTCCATACGTTTTTCACAGAATAGTGGTCATGTGCACGTTCGTGTGTGTTGGAGGAGGGGCTCAGTAAGGAAGTCTGAAGGAAGGGGCAGATTGTTTTCGGTTGTGTACTTTCAGATTCTAGCGCACTCAAGCTGGTTTCTCCATTCTTACCTACCCTACCTTTAAGCGATTTAAACAGAATGAAGAGCAATTGACTCCTGCGTTCTGATCGTTACTTAAGATCGGAGTTGAAAGGGAACACCTTTCAAACCTTTATAATTAAATGTAGACCGATAATATTGGAAGAACCCTTAGTAAGTGAGAGTCTTTGCTACTCCCTGTTGGAGCTTGAGAAAAGTTATCTTACTGTCCAACTCATCCATGAAGCCTTCATCCACAGATTCACTGTCCACCTCCTCTCCTTCAGCCTCTGTGGGCAGGAACACATGAAGCTGAGTGCGGGCCGGACCGGCAGCAGCAGAAGGAGCCGGGCGTTCACTGCTGCTCAGGAGACAAGGCTTCCCAACGACATACAAAGGCTCTCCCTGAGGAGATGAGTTGCGATACTGCATCACTAAAGGTCTGAGGTCACCCTGCAGTTCCATCTCTGCGCTCAGGGTTGGGTTGTGGTAATGGCGCCTCACTGGTCTTGGCTTGGAGCCGGGCTGGATGGCATGTGAGAAGTGGAAATAGGCCGGTCTGCTGCAGTTTTGGACCTGCCGGTGGTTCTGCTGCTTGCTGGTCTCAGATGTGAGGCAGGTCTTGCAGGGGAGCAGGACTGATGACTTGGAAAACGGAGTAGGAGGTGCAGAGCCCTTTTTTAAAACACTGGGGCGACGATTGTTTGAGAATCCCTCGAGTAGGGCGTTTTCATGTGGGGTGAGGAGGGATGGCTCACTGAGGCTGTGGAGACAGTAATGAAAGTTTAAGTAGAAAAAACATTTTTAGAAATATATTTTAATACTTCATTACCAAGTTCGATGACTTAAAACGTTACTTGACCAAATCCGAAAAGATTGTAACACCAATGACTTGGACCTGAGCCCTTTGACTAAAACATACTTAATACCTTACTTAAAGCCCCAAATCTAAGAATTTCCCTTAATTTCCCACTACTCAATCCCAGCAAGAGATCACTTATGTTCAACCAGGCAACCAATCAAGTTTCAATAAAGAACCATACATAATGAATGTCACATGACTGAAGGTAGCAGTTGGAAAAATCTTTGTGGTTGTCCACAAAAAAACAAAATGTAGATAAGTTGCAATTTGATTTGTTTAGGATTTGAAACCTAAAGTTTAAAATTATGGACTTGCAAAAACCATGTCTTTGTTGCTCTGATAACACTCTGATATTAAGCAGTTGTAATGTTTTTCCCATTTGTCATCTTATTTCAGCGTTTTAGCATGATTACATTTGCTATTTGCACTTAATAAATACGATGACTGAGGCTAATAGGAATGTCATTAGTTTAGCTGGTAATTGGTCACGAGCCGAGGATGGCACTTAATTGAAATGTAAGTTCTCCAAAATGAATACAACTCATCCTAAGGGAACCCTAAATGTCTAAATCAAGTTTCATCAAAATCAGTCCAATAAGTAGGGAGACATTTTTGCCAAAATCACAAAAGTCAACCTCATAGTTGCAATAGAATAAAAGTTAAAGGATGACCAAAGTCAGTACAATTCATCCTCTGGGGAACATGAATATGTACCAAATTTGAACACAGTCTATTAAATAGTTCTTGACATATTTTCCAGTTTGAATCAAAATGGTTGACTCACAGAAAGACACTGTCAGGGCCACTAATACAAATAGGAATGTTCAAACAACAGAACGCTTCATCAGTTTGATGGTTATTCAAAACCTGCTCTGCTTGGGTGAGGGCCATAAAGTAACTTGTCAGACAGTCAGGTGAGTGTGTGTGTGTGTGTGTGTGTGTGTGTGTGTGTGTGTGTGTGTGTGTGTGTGTGTGGTGTGTGTGTTTAAGAGCTTAAAGTTTGTGCGTTGATCACTCAGGTTTCTCCCTCCTCTGAGTTAAGCTGCATCAGGAGACAGATCAGCTTCCACACCTGAGATTTATGACACACTGTATCTTAGCCTTCTGTAGTCAAAGCAAACCAGGGGGGAGCGCAGAGGTGGCCTACTATCTGCTATCAAATTGGGACGGACTGGAGAGGAAACAATTAGACTGTAATTCCAGTCAAGCGTTGAACGTTAGACAGGCACTTTTGCTGAGATGAATAGAGACGGTGGAGATGTGAGAGTGGAGATGACATACAGGGGATTAATCACATTCAAACATGCCGCATCACTGACACTGATGTGACTCAGGGCTATGCCTTTTTAAATATCATTTGATGCTATTCTATCATTATATAATACACATTGGACATATATTACTTAATGAAGTGCTAACTGTTGTATGTCGGCTTTAGGGAAGGGACTCAACAAAAAAAATAAACAAAGATTATATGAATACTTGTATATCATGACACTAATCTATTTATACTTATATACGTATCACATGCTTTCACTATATTCCTTTTTTTCAGTTTATTAATGTAGTAAAATGTTCCTGTCTAATTCATTTAACTTTTTAGTAATATTTTACTGTTATATGTTATATTGTATATTTTTCCCTTTTCAAAAATTGTTTTAAGTTTAGATTCTCATTGTTGTTTTTACTTTCGTGATATTCTTCTATTCCTTTTGTAGACATATTTAATGAACATCGTAGGAGGAAGGAGCCGCATACTGCTTCTCTGTAATTGTTGTGGATAAAAAACAACTTGAGGATACAGTTAACATACACAGTTAAATTGATAAGTAATTGCTTAATATTTGGGCATGAAAGCACAACATTTGGTTTAATTTACATGAAAGGAATAGTTTGACATTTTCGGAAATACGGTGCAAAAGTTAGATGAGAAGATGAAGACTCATGTATGTCCTTATGCAGCTTGAGCCAGCCAGCTAGCCACTTAGCATAGCCTAGCTTATTTTTTATCTTAGCCTAGCTTGTGATAGCTTATTTTATGAAAGCTTAGTTTAGCCTATTCTATCTTAGCTTAGCTTAATGTCTGGAACAAGGTAGCCTGGCTCTGTTTTGTACCAAATATCTCTAAAGTCATATGATAATCCACTTAAAATAACCCCTTGTTGTTTTAACACTTGGTGTAGGATTGAAAAGGATATGAGAAATTGCTATTTATTTTAAGTTATGTTGTTGTTTACTGTTATGAATAGCAGTTTACTGGCAATGCTGTTATTATAGGATAAGAAACATTGCTTCTAATACTTTATTTTATTAAAATATTCAAATGAGTGGCTTTGAGCTATTAATTTGCAGATATTGATCCAATCCTCACTATGTGACATCAACAAAGCATTGGAATAATGTGTCGTATTTTAATTGTTAAAAAGTCTTGCAAGATGAGTTTGGAGTTATGTCCTTTCGAGCTTTCTAGGAAATTGCAACTGGACAAATATGAAGCAAACCGGGGGTATATATAAACCGAACCAATCCAGCCCTTCAGTTAAAGTGTGATGTGCTGCTTACCTAAGACGAGCTATGCTTGGCCTGCGGGGCCCCTGGGCAGTAAGTGAAGGCAGACGGAGAGGGGTCCTGGCCCCCCAGCCTCCTCTTGCTGTGGGTGGAGGGTGCACAAAGCTGGGAAGTAGGTAGGTCTGGACCAAAGCTCGGCTCTGCTTCGTGGCTTTCTGATTCCAGCGTCCACTGATGTCCAAACCCAGGCCGAGCACAGCTGCCTGGAGCGCAGCTTCAGCGGGGCCACTCATTGGTCTCTGAGTTTGTGTCTCACCTGGAGGAGAATTTCTCTGAAAATGTCCTGATAATGTAAACCATGGACGGCACTGACAAAGGCAATATAGATCCAACAGACAGAGGGCTGCTGCAGAGACCTAGATGTGGAGCATGTACTACATGTGTGTCGTGTACGGGCCCCAGGGGGTGAATGTAGAGGGGATTGTACGACTCCACCTGCGGGCAGCGGACAACATCAATGATGCATGTCCATTAATGATGCATGGCTGGAGCTGGTCAGGTGGACAGCACCGACTTTACCTCTCTCCCTTTCCCTCTGCACCAGGTCGGTTTACAGTCGTATACGGGAACAGATGGTAAACACACAGGATGAACGTAGATGCGATACAATGAACTTCAAATAAACTCTTTATTTGTTTTTGTAATGACTGGGAACCGTTCGGGTACAGTGTAAAACACACCAAACACAGTCCTATCCCTAGAACTGTTTCATATAAGATGTAGCTCAGAGCTTTATAAATACATAACAATGCAACATTTTCAATAATTTAAAAATTATATACAGTGGGGCAAAAAAGTATTTAGTCAGCCACCAATTGTGCAAGTTCTCCCACTTAAAAAGATGAGAGGCCTGTAATTTTCATTCTAGGTACACTTCAACTATGAGAGACAGAATGGGGGGAAAGAATCCAGGAAATCACATTTTATGATTTTTAATGAATTAATTGGTAAATTCCT